GACCACATTTTCATTATCCACTCATCAGTTGAGGGACACTTAGGTTGCTTCATCTCTTAGCTATTGTGAAAAAAGCAGCAACAAACATTGATGTATAAGTGTCTCTGCAATAGGATGAGTTCTTTGGGTATATGCCAAGGAGTGGTATAACTGTGTCAAATGGTAGGTTCATTTGCAATTTTTTAAGAATTTTCCTCACTGCTTTCCATCGGGGTTGAACAAGTTTACAATCCCACCAGCAGTGGATGAGCATTCCCCTTTCTCCACATCCTTTTTAACATTTGGTATCATTTGTTCTCTTGATCTTAGCCAGTCTGACTTGGGTAAGGTGAAATCTTAAAGTGGTTTTAATTGCATTTCCCTAATTACTAGTGATGTTGAACATCTTTTAAGATGCTTCTTAGCCATCTTTATGTCTTCTTTTGAGAACTCTCTGTTCAGCTCCTTAGCCCATCTTTTAGTTGTGTTACTTCCTTTCTTGATACTTTTTTTTAGTTCGTTATATATTCTGGATGTTAAGCCTCTGTCAGATGTGTCACTGGTGAAGATTTTCTCCCATTCTGTGGGTTTTCTCTTCACTTCCTTCATTGCTTCTTTTGATGTACAGAAGCTTTTTAGTTTAATGGCTGTTCTTGCAGAAGACCAGGGTTCGAATCCCAGCACCCACATGGCAGCCTACAACTGTCTGTAACTCCAGTTCCAGGGGATCCAATAGCCACTTCTGTCTTGTAGGGGCATTGCATGACACAGGTGCACTTACCTACATGCAGGCAATACACACATACACATAAAATAAAAATAAATTTTTTTTAATTTCTAAAAAAATAAAGACTTTGGAAATAACCACCATGATTGCCTATTTAATTGTTTAGTGTCTTTATGCAGGTTGCTATAGAAAAATATTGTACACTGAATATAGGCTTACAGACAATGGAAAATTATGTCTGTAAGCTCTGGAGAACAGAAAGTCCAAAATCAGATAGCAAATATGGTATCAGATGAGGGCCTGGTTTTTAGTTCATAGATGACACCTTCTTTTGTCCTCACCTGGAGCTCTGATCTTCACTCCTTGTAAAGGCACAAATCCCACTCATGAGGGGCCCACCTCTCAAAGGCCACATTTCTTAATACCGTCACGTTGAGAAATCAGGTTCAGTATGTCAGTCGGAGCATATAGGGGAGAGGGAGACACATATTCAGACCATAGACACACATAGACCATGTGTTAGAAGTATCTGCAGAGCTTACATTTTATTATTTTCTTGAAGTTTGTTCATCTGTATGAAGAATTCCAAGGCTAGCTTTTAAGGAAAAGAGCTTTTTAAGATTAAAGTCTCCAGAGATTTGAAACGAGCTCATTATTGTGCTACTTTCTAGACTTTCCTTTGCATATTAACACTGGATATATATACTCAGATATTTCAGAAATAGCTTCTGAGTAGCTCTGAGCAATGGAGGGGGCAGTGTTTGCTGTCAGGGAGCACAAAAGAAATAGGGACACTATAAAGGAAACCACATAGTTAGCTCACAATGCAAGAAGCCATGTATGTTTTCTCATAGAAAGGCCAAATAATCATTTATCTTGACCTTAAACATCTACCAT